GAAGGAGTGAAAGCCCAGAATCCCTGTGAATGTTCATTGAAACTAATAAAATTTAATAATAATAATAAAAAAAGTAGCTGATACTTGAGCTCACATTTTACACATCTGTATTTCTTAGAGAACATGAAATTTATCAATGCCTTCTTCATTATAAATAGCCTAGCTATTTTTAACTTGTAATGAATGTTAACTTTGAACTTAAACTTTACCTTAAAATGCAGGTCATAAAAATCCCAAAATACTATTATACTGTTAGCTTTAGCTCTTTTGTAGTAATTATTATACCTGCTACTACTAAAGGGAGAAGGATGGGAAATCTCCTCTCATGCATTTAACTGCCTCTGAAAACCTGCCAGAGGGTCAGCTATGGGTCGGTTCCAACTCAACAGTACACAACCCCATCACCACAACTATTAAAACTAATTTAGAACACCAACAATTTAACACCAACACGGTGTCTACATATTGCACACTATGTAAGTCATTGAGATGTAAAGGTATCCCCTAATGAGCCAAGAAGAAAGAAATAACACAAGGCTCTGCTTCCATCAGATGACAGGGAGGATTGCCATTCAATCAGAGTGACTGAGGTGCTCATTACATACCAGGCAATGCTAAACATCAGAGAAAAAAGACAGAGTGAGCCAAGGTGTGCACCAAGAGAAAGAGTTCAGCTGGCGCTTTGGCACGTGAGATGGAAGAAATGTTTTAAACAGAATGCTATTAATTCTGATGCATACATTTTTAAAAGTCTCTTTATCTGAATAATAAAGAAATATATAAACACTAGTTAAAATGCAAAAGAGATCCCCTGTCAGTCCAATTACTTTTCCTGATGATTTTTACACACCTTTTCATTTTGCTTGCTTTGATTCTATTGAAAATTTAAATTATCTTTAAAAACAAAATTAGAATAAAAGAATTCCAATATAGTCATCACCTAGGATTGTAGTCTATTAAATTCTGATCACTTCTTTCAGAAATGAAAGGTTAAACATCTTAATGGCAATCAGAGAAATTAAGATTGCAACTGGATCATGACTTGTCGAAAGCATAAGGACATATATTTGCATTTGAGCAGAGTTTTATGTCACAAATGACTCTGCTAAAAATACTATGCAAATACAAAATAATATGTTAGCACTTAACAGTCACATTGTTTCTAACCATACTTTCATTTTAAATAGACACTTGTCCAATCATATATTTATGTTTTTAAAGCCAAAGATCACCTAACAAGTTTAAAATGAGCTCTTTGTGAAGACATAATTTAAAAAAAAAGAGAGAACATAAAAAATGTTTCCTTGAATTAAAGTACCAAATGAAGACTGATAAAATCTTTCCTCAACTTCTTATGGGACTGTCAAGTGGCTCAGCCTAAATATCATATGAAACACTGATAAAATATCAACATGGTGAGGTTGAAACCAGGATTCACTAAAAGTGAACTCACAAAAAAAAAAAAGTGAACTCATAAGACTTTTCATGCTACAGTAGAGGTTCCCCAACTCCTGGTTCTCATCTCACCTCCACTATTCAACTTCCGGGATAAGAGCTCCACTTTTTCTTGCAATTTGTCGTAGACAGTGACAATCTGAGACACTGCTCTGCGGGACGACTCCACACGCTCCTGCAGCTGAGATTCCATCTCTTCACTGGAACTGCTCGCCAAAGTAGCAAGGAAAGAGAAAGCTGGCTCTTGTCCTTCCCCTGAGGACACAGAGGGTAAAACGAAGTCCACTGAAATGATCTAACTGGAAATGTCACAATCCATTTCTCCCCTCCACTGAACAGCCTCAAAGCAAAGTTCTGTGATGACAGGCAGTGGGCCCTTCCCGCACACTCACCTCTCTCTCTGTCATCTTTCCGTTCCTGATTGCTATCAGAGTCGGGTTCCGGTTCCGGCACGACCAGGGCTTTTCTCTCTGTGAGGAGGTCTCCCAAGCCCTGTTCCAGATCGTAACGTTTAAGGATGATACGGATGTTTTCATCAAACTGAAGAAAGGTATGCACAACAATAATTTTTTAAAATCAAAAAGAAACAAATTTGAAAAATAAAGATTAAAACAGAATTAGAAGACTCAAAACTCTGCACTGTTAGCCACCTGACTCCAGTACCGGTTGACAATCAATAGCGAGGCATCGTCAGTGGCCTGTCGCCGTTCCAGCTTTTCAATGTGCTCACGGAGTTCATCTTCAATAGCCTGCCGCTGATCCAGCATTTCTGCCAGCTTGCGATTTTTGGCTTGCAGTGTTCGAATGTCGAGCTCCTCCTGCCCCAGAAAACCAATCTTATTAGTCTCCACAAGAAATGACTCAAATCCACCGTCAAACTCAACAAGATCTTATTACTTCACAAACTAGTTCTTGTGAATAAAGTTATTCAATTAAAATAAAAATCTCGCAACAACAGTAAATACAAAGTAGGTGCAGTCAGAAAGGGTGTATAATAATGAGTTAAGAACATGCCCTGGAACCTCAGCTATTCACACATACAGCCACAAAGTGCTGTTACTTTGATCCTGTTGTCCAGCTAGATTACCTGCTACTTGGACCACAACTGTTGTCTTCCTGAGCACTGTCCTTCTTTATCGAGACCTGATTCCTGATTCCACTACTCCATCTACTCCATCCCTGCTGTCATCTCCAGTGACGTCAATATTCACTTGGACAAACCGCCTAACCCTAAAGCATCTAGCTTGGCTGCTTCTGGGCTTCTTCAAATTCAGTTATTATCTCCTATACTATTTAAGCAATGGTTTCAAAAGTCGCATTTTGGAATCATTTACTAACTATAACATCACCACCTCTGAACTCTTAAGTCTCAACTTGCTGTTCTTCAAATAAAATCTTCTCTTTCCAGGCATTTCATGCCCTTATTCCCAACATCCACCCTCATCCAGACCTCAAGAATTTTGAGTGCTCCTCTTCAGTCACGCCAACTTATCCTTTCATAGCTTGGCTATACCTCTTTCACAGATCTACTTACCAGAACCCTCATTTCTCTGCCCTTAGTCCATTTACCTTAGTGAACGAAATTAATCCAAATATCTGACTGTTCTCCCTCTCAGGATACGGAGTAAGAGCTTCTAGATAAGGTCATTAATTAGGAGGATATGGACTTTTTAATCATTTGCTAAGCATCTGAGAGATGGACAGAAGAACGACAAGGATGACAGAAGAATTGATGCCTTTGAATTGTGGGGTTGGAGAAAGTATGCACTGCCAAAAGAATAAAAACAGACATGCCTTGGGGAAAAGCACAGCCAGAGTACTCCTTAGAGGCAAAGATAGTGAAGCTTTCTCTTCCATACTTTGGGCATGTTGCTAGGAGAGGCTATTCCTCAGAAAGGGATATCATGCTAGGAAAGAGGTACAGAGGGTCAGCAAAAGAGAGTAAGACCCTCAACAACATGGACAGACATAGTGACTGCAATGGGCTCAAGTGTGTCAGATTGTGAGGATGGCACAGCTATCAGATCTGTTGTTCAAAGGGTCGCTGAGTCATATTGGACTTGACGGTACCTGGCGGAATCCACAGGGTATTGCACGGCTAAACTAAAAGAGAGAAAGATGGGCAATCTTCTTCTGTGTGGTTTATAGCCTCCTGAAAACCCACTGCAGGGTTAGCTATGAGTCGGTTCTTACTCCACGGCAAGGACTTAGATGTCAACGTCTTTACAAAATGACACTCTAACTTGAATACCAAAAAGTCAAACCAAATCCACTCCCATCAAGTCAAAGCAATCCGCATCAGGTTCCTGAGGCTATGAATCTTTATGAGAGCAGAATGCCCATCCTTTTCTCGAGGACAATGTTAAATTTTTTGCAGTGCAGTGACTGCCAAGACATGTAAAAGTAGGAGGTGGAAGATGGGAAAGAGCTGGGATGACTTCTGGGGTTCATCTTCAAGGTGAGTTCTAAAATATTGTAAACGACCCAGGACAAGGGGGAACTGAAAGCAGAAAGGCTTTCACACACACTTTATCTTGGAATTAAAGAATGCTCTAACAAGGGATTGATCACGGCAACAATTTATTTCACTTTTCTCTCATCTGTTCTGGCTAAAACATTAATATAATACAAGAGTTAATAGTTTCCTGTTATTGTTGTGTACTGGAAAGTCAGAACCAACTCACAGCTGATCCTCCAGGGGGTTTTCAGAGGCTGTAAATAGCATGGGAGCAGCTGGTGACTTCAAATCATGAATCTCTGGGTTGGCGGTGGAGTAGTTTCTCTATAATATCAACTTATTAATACTATGAATGTATAAATCATATTACTGATATTAACACTAGCTATAATATTAATACTACAAACGCCTACTCTAACAAGTTTGTCCCCATATCGCTTAGCCAACAAATCCTAGCTATTCTCATTAGTCTCAGCTGTCCCCATATTGCTACAGTACTAAAAGCATGAAAACCAGTTATAGCGATATTCATGCTATTAATAAACTATGCAGATGGCACAACCCTGCTTGCTGAAACTGAGGAGGACCTGAAGTGCTTGCTGCAGAGGGTCAAGGACTGCAGCGTTCAATATGGATTGAGGCTCAATGTCAAGAAGACAAAGATTCTCACCACTGGACCAACTGGCAGCATCAAGATGGATGGTGAAGAGATTGAGATTGTTCACAGCTTTAGTTTGCTTGGCTTTACAGTCAACACACTTGGCACCAGTAGCCAGGAAATTAAAAGACGTATTGCCATGGGAAAGTCTGCTGTGAGGGACCTCTCCAAAGTACTGAAGAGCAATGGTGTCTCTCTGGAGACTAAGGTGCGTCTGATACAAGCCATGGTCTTTGCAATCACTTGTTATGCATCAGAGAGTTGGACAATGACTAGGGAAGATAGAAGAAGAACTGATGCCTTTGAGCTGTGGTGCTTGAGAAGAGTATTGAGGGTACCATGGACTGTGAGGAAAACAAGCAGATTCATTCATCCTGGAAAGGGTTAAACCAGGTGGCTCCCTGGAAGCAAGGATTCTGTGGCTTCGTCTAACATACTTTGGACATACTGTAAGGAGAGACCAGTCCTTGGAGAGAAACTGCTTGGGAAGGTGGAGGGACGGCGCAGGAGGGGGAAGGCCCTCTATGAGGTGGATTGATTCAGTGACTGGGGTAATCGAGATGGGTGTATCAGAGATAGTGCGACTGGCACAGGACAGAGTTTAGGGTCGCTGCAAGTTGCAAGAAGGACAGAGTTTAGGGTCGCTGCAAGTTGCAAGAGACTCGACAGCACATAACAACAACAACATAAACTCAAACTCTTCTCTGAACACCACTTTCCTTCCTTACGCTAAAGAAAGCCTGGATGAGAATTTGTTCCCCCTGCAGCACTCTCAAGGTTTGGGTGTTTTCTCCCACATCCTCTGAACCATTGAACAAGGAAGGAAGTGGCTGTCTTCCTTTTCCAATGACACTCTGAATCTACTCTCCTCTCTCAAAACTCTTCATTTTGCTGTACATGCCCTTGTCTACCATTTGCCACTTGTCTACCATTTGTCTTATAGTCGTTTACAAATGAGCAGGTCACTTCCCACGTTGGTTGAAGATGTATCAGTTAGTTAGTTCACTGTATCATTTTATCCAATCCACTCTTACTTTTACCATTTCAACTACCACATAATCTGTCCAATATCTTAGATTGTGTTGACCTCATCTCCTCTAATGACTTTGTCCTCCTCTACCTTAGCCAACAAATCCCAGTTATTCTTATTCTCAGCACTCCCTATTACATCTTCTGTCAACCCAATTTCAAATACTCCATTCTCCACAACTACCATTTATTCTCCCAAAGCACTCTCTCTAGCAAGAATTCTTCAGGATCTACAAACACATTGGTCATCTTCTTCTTGCGTAGCAGCTGGTGGATTCAAACCAAGTGCTTCTAGGTTGGCAGCACAGCTCCTTATCATAGGCCACCAGAACCATTAGCCCTCCATTATTCCTCTCACTTTTTCACTTACTTCTTTATTATAAACTTGAATCCAGGAGTCATTAAAGTAGTTACCTCCTTTGATACAACTTCATCTCCTTTGCTCCCTCATCACCCTGCCTCCTAACAACACTCGCCACTCTGAGAAACACCAAACTCTCCAACTATTCCAAGACAACCTTCACTCAGCTGATAATATGACTGACAAAAATAAAGCTCCAGGCCAATCAGGCTCACATTAAACTCATAAATCACAAGAGGATCCTCCGAGTGGCCCAGCAGGCCCAATATAGCTCTCTAACCCATGCTCTCTGTAAAAGACTACTTCATACCTTCTCCTGTCTCTTCCAACCTCCAAAACTTACTCCCCCATCCTCACTCTCAGACGAATCTTGCTTCTGATTTCACTGGGGGAAAAAAAATAAAAGCAATCAGAAGAGAACATCCACACCTATGTCTCATAACCACAGCTACCAACCTGAGTATGCACCCACAGCCTGGCCTTCCTTCTGGCTGTCAACCCAGCCACTGCATTCATGCAAAGACACCACACCTTCTTCTGCTACATCAACTTTTCCTATCAAATCAGTAAACAGATAAACATGTGTAATATTGCCAATCTTAACAAACAAAAACATTCCTTCATTTCCACATTTCTCTCTGCCCCGCCTCTTTTCCCTAGTTTGCCCTCTCGTGTTATCCTACACTTGCTGCAATAAGCCCCACTCTTCCGCCAAGCCACGTCTTGGTAAGTCTCCAGTGAATCTTCCATTGCTAAACTTAATGGGCATGTTTCAGTCCTCAGCAGCACGTGATCAAGTCCTTCTTGAAATACTTTCTTCATTTGGCTTCCGAGACCCCCACTCTCTAGTCTCCTCCTAGCTAACTGGACCCTTTTGCTGTCAGTTAATTACTCCCCTCTCATCTTCTTGATATGAAAATATTGCAGAGCCATTTAAAGGAAACTCAGACCTCTTCCCAAACTCCAGATTACTACATCCGACTGCCTATCCACTCAGAGAGACATAATGACTATCACCGACTTATATGTCTAAAATCAAACTCCAGGACTGAACCTCAGTTTCTTCCCCCAATCTGTTTCACTCATATGCTTTCTACATCAGTTGCTGGAAACGCCATACTTCTAAAATCCTCAAGTGATTTTCTAACTCATTAGCAAATTGTGTCAACACGACCTCCATTAGAGAGGTCAATCATCAAGGTATTGCCCTAGTGTCATAGATTGAATGTGTCACCTCAAAATACACAGGGACTTCTGGTGGTTTAGTTATAAGGAACTGCCAACCCAAAGTTAAGCAGTTCTAATCCCACCAGCTGCTCCATGGAAGAAGAACTAGGCACTCTCCTCCTGAGTAATTTACTGCCTCAAAAACCTACTGAAGGTCAACTATGGTTCCAACTTGAGGCTACTCAATAACAAAACACATGTATATAATGATACAATGTAGAAGCTATGTAATCAATCCCGAAGGTCTAGTAAACTATGTAGCTTCAGGAGGATTAAAAGTTAATGCAGATTCTCTAATCTCATCACAGCCTTATTTAGACATAAGGGGGGAGAGTTCCCCAAGGGTATGGAATTTATTAGCTTTTATCTCATGTATTATTTAATATCTTTTATTGCACAGAGTATTTCCTCTTATTTTTTCAAGGAGAAAAATGATTCTGTGAAGGTGACAGAGTGTGTACATTCAGTCCCAAAAAAATATAACAACAGGAATACAATGCATCTTTTCCAATCTGGGCATCTTCATGGTAAAGCTCTTTGTCACTAAAACAGACCAGATCCCATGAAAGCCTGCAGATGCCGAAGGAAAAAGGACTTTCCTCCACAATGACAGAGAAAGAAGCAGTTTCCCTAGAACTAACACTCTGAATTGGGACTTTTAACTTCCTAAATGTCTATTAAAGCCATCCATTTGTAGTATCTCTTCTATGGCAATATCCGCTAACTAAGACATTTAGTGTTTGTCTACCATAGCACACACCTTTATGTCCCATAATATGTCCTATTGGCCTGCTGGATTTCAGCACATTGGTGGTGGACAGCTCCATCCACACTTCCAATGCTTCCACATCAAGCATAATGTCAGGTGGTTCACAACAGATTCTGGAAGCACAGAGGAGTTACTGTCTCCAGCCACAATCTTCAAACAACGGAGGGAAAAAATCAGTGGACCATGAACCTCAGAAAGGGCCCTTCCTCACCATTTGCTCTGAATGTTCCTAGTATTCTTTCTTACTCTGGGGAAAAAATCAACTTCTCTGAATCTGTTTCATAATTAAAGGAATAAATGAAGCTCTTTTAAGCTCTACATCTCAAGTATTTTTAATACCTTGTTTCTATGGCTTACCTCAAAATAAAGAAACCAGATCCACTACAAAATGATAATTTTCTGACATCTGATATATAACAATACAGTGTGCTTTCAATGTATAATAGTGTAATGAAACTTGAAGGTCCAAAGAGCAAGGATAACAGTATCTATTCTATCCACCACTGTACTCATATTATTTATCCAAACATTAACCATTGGTAATTCATATTTAAGAAGTATTATTTGTTCGGCCCTCAGGAGCAAGAAGGCAAGCAGCTGTAACCCAAGACCACCAGTAAGGTGATAAAGCGTCCTCCCTTCCCCCCTTTATATCTACACCCCTGTTCAGCATGAAGAAGCCAGAGAGTCGGCATCCAATTCCCAAATCAATAAGACAGTTGGTTTAATTACTATTGGGAAATGCTTGTCATTCCTCTGTAGCATCTGGTCCCCACTGGACCCTCATCATTTCCTTCACCTGCTCCCCCCACCGACCAAACTGTGCAGCTCTGCAACTGCATCCTGACCCATCCTCACCCTTCTGCCCCCAACCCTCACCTCCTTGTACCCCCAATATGTTTTTCCCAATAAAATATTAAATTAAAATAAAATTAAAAAGAAGTATTATTTGTTAAAGGCTGTGCTGTAACTTTTACATTGTTGTTGCTATGTGCTGTCAAGTGGCCTGCGACTCTGAATCCTACTCTACCCTGAGCCAATCTCAACTGTAGTGTCCTGCAATTCTTCAAGTTTGTTTTTCATCCACTGAAAACATTCAATCATCTTTTTTTAAAATTCTGCATCAGAAAGTTCCATCAGACTTTCTGGCTTCATGAAATCCATTACTACTGTGTCATTTTGGGGGGTAGATATCTTGTTTTGGGCTTGCGTGGTGAGTGAGGTACCCTGCTTCTTTCGAGACATTGAAATGGAAGAGTTTTTGAAAACTAAGGTGATAGTTGGTTCTTGGTTTGATGTCACTACTTCTGTATCGAGATGTCCAGTACCTCCCTTTTGCTTAAGTTGGTGGGACCAATGTGGTAGGGCCAAAGTGCAGTTTGTAGTCAAAAGAAACTAAATCTTCAATATTGGAAACTTTTTCAAGTGAGGTTGAAAAATGCTATAAATTTGGTCTATGTGTTTTTGTTCTTTTGTGTGGTTTTTTGTTTTGTTTTTTTGTTTTCTTTAAGTCCTGGCCCGAGGGCCCCAAATTTCAGAGCTGGCGGCGGGGTCTCGGACTGGGGCGGGGGAAGCGATGCAGTACCTGGAGACGTGGGTCAAAGGTGCAGAGGTGGGTCCAAGTTTGAATCCACTCCCTCTGTCCACTGCGTACCCTGAACCAATCTTATTGTCTCTGACACACCTACTCCCATTACCCGAATCACTGAGTCAATTCTTCTCATCGAGGGTCTTCCTCTCCTTCACTGTCCTTCCAACCTCCCAAATATGATGTCCCTCTGCAAGGACTGGTTCCTTCTTACAACATGCCCAAAGTATGTCAGACAGAATACTTCTTACATAGACTCCAATTTTATTCTCACGACCTAATGAGGAAAGTACCATAACTACATTTTACAAAGAGAAAAAATTATAAGGACAATAATGAAAGGTTATGCAGGCAAAAGGTGGTGGAGATGATGGTCAATCCAGGCCATCTGGCTTCAGATCCTCACCCGTCACCACACTGTCAATGATTTAAGACATTCAATTTTCTCTTATACCTGGTAATGTATTCCTTAGTGAATGAAGAATGTAGACTTCCCAAATTCTCAGCTTCAGATTGCAACTGGCAAGAAAAGTGCCCTTGTGTACTGTTTCCACGTACCGTAGAGGAGACACCTCCGAGCTTAATCGTTTCCACAGTGGTCCCTGCATCTTCGACAGCTGCCTTCTTCTCTGCGGGCATGGATGTGCCAGGCTCTCCAGCTGCTCTTTTATTTCCAATTCCCGACATCTTGGCACAAGATGATAGTTGCTTCCTGGAGGACAAACACAATAAATGAGGGGTATGCAAAGAAAGAGGCAAAAAGTGTTTGAAAAAAGAAGAGCTAAGAGGCAAAAATCAGCAATGTTTCCAGCAAAGCCTTTTAATCTATAGTCACTTATTTCAATCCCAGCAACATCATCCCTAAATTCCTCTTGGGAAAGAATTAAATGGTAGAGGCAAGAGTCAAGCTGAATTTAGAAGACCAGCAATTTCTGAAAAAGATGCTAACAGGTACAGGGTGAATAGATCAAGGGTAAACTTGAGGATGTTATTCTGGTCTTCTTTTCACTTTCTTACATGTCAAATCCTGTGAGTTCCGGTAAGGGCAGTCCGAAGGGAGTAGCACTGGTAACCCAAAGGTGGGGTCTGTGTGGCTGTGCAATTCCACCAGCAGCTCCACAGGAAAAAGCTGGGCCACCTCCACAGTGCGATTTACAATCTCGGAAAGTCCACTGGAGGATCAGCTATGTGTTGGTTCCCACTAGAAGGTTAATGATCTGGTTAGTTTGATGTCCAGTGGTAGCTATGGTGGAAGCTCACTTGACTGCAAGCAGAAAGGCCATGACTCTCCGGCCTTTGAATCCTGGTCACGGACAAGTGGAAAAGGAATTGCACTACCAACCCAGAGATGGCAATTCAAAACCACCAGCTGCTCCACAGGACAAAGATGAGCATTCTCTTCAAGATTTACAGCCTCTGACAGGCTGGAGGGTCAGCTCTGAGTCCTTTCCACCTTGAAGATGTGGCTCTGTGCAAGAAGGCAATCTCCACCTGGGATGTAAAGTCTGGGGACCTGGTGGGGTGTCAGCTCAGATTTGACAGGAATGAGTCTTGAGCTGTTTTGTGTTTTTGTTTAGCAAGTCAAAATCCAGAAAAGTACATATTTTTACTATGATGGACACTCATGGTAGAATTGGGAAGAACCACAGAGCTGAACAGATCTGAAAGATGCCGCCTCAGTCATTAATACAGAGCAAGCTAGTTGTTTTCTCTGATCTTTAGTTTCCTAATCTAAGAATGTATTTACTGTGTTTATTACAAGCTCTGGTGGCCTACTGGCAAGAAGCTGCGCTGCAACGCCAGAAGCATGGTGGTTCAAGACTACCAGTTGCTCTGCGGGGGAAAGACAGGCAACCTCCTGTGAGATTAACTGTCTCCGAAAAACCACCACTGAAGGGTCGACTCTACAGTAATCAGCATTACAAGGAATAGGTGATGCACTTAACCTTTTTAATTTTTTTTTTTAAATTGTGTCGCTGTGTGCCATCTAATCAGATCCGACTGGCACAGGAGATTGTCCCTCCTTCTTCAATGGGGCATCTGTGGACTCGAACCACATCTGGGTTTGCATTTGGGATTGCAGCGCAGCTTACTGCCACTAGGCCACCAGAACTTAAAAAAAGTTTCTCCCCTGTAAAATTCTCTCCCCACGATTCTGAGCAACAGGAGGGAACTTCTGGTGGCCTAGTGGATACGGAGTAGCGCTGCCACCCTAAAGGCAAAGTTTGAACTCACCAGTTGCTCCACGGGAGGTGGGGGGAGGGCAAGCTCCCATGCGATTTACTGACTCTGAAAAGCCGATGGGGGGGCTCAGCTGTGAGTCAGTCCAGACTCGACTGCACGTTAACAACAAAGGGAGGTTAGACCTGGGTGCAATAATCAGTGCCACGTTTTGGGAAGTCTTGTTGCCTTCAATGAGTGGCTTCATTTCGTCTAACCTACCTGTGCCTCGAGGATCCGGAATGCAAAGACGACGGGGAAGAGCTGCTAATGCACTCTGGTTACGTAAAGCAGCCGCGCTCCCATTACAGGCTATGCAGACCCAGTGGCCGCACCCGGAGAGGGACCTCGCTTGGAAAGCAAGGCAAGAGCACCCACGATCTAACCCGCGAAGGGCCTGGGGCTCGACCACACGACCCGCGCGGCCAGCTGCGGGCCCGGGGAAGAGGAGCCCCGAAACCGCAGAGTCTCAAAATCTCCAATGGACTCTACCACCGCGGCGCCTGGACCTCAGGCGCGATCTAACCCGGGCCTTTCAACTCGCGTTTCCCGGGAGCAGAACTCGCGGCAGTTATGCACCAACATCAGCACCGCCCTCCCACCTCTCACCCTTGACCCGCAGGAGTCAACAGAAAGCTGCTTCCGGGAGGCGGGGCCAGAGGGAGAAGGTAGCCCGAAGTCGCTTCCCCATATGCGGGACGGAAGTGACGCAGTTGGAGGGCGCCGAGTGGCTGGGCTAGCGAACCGTGTCTAGGCAGGATTGAGGCGTTAGTCGAGCGAGTGCCTCTCCTCTCTAAGTTAAGACTTCCAGGTGGAGGGCACTCTCGCGGATGCTACAGGAAGCACTCTGACTTTTATAGGTTTGTTGACTTTTCCTCCTAAGTTTTTTATTTAGGGTGTCTAGTTCTGTTACCTTTTCTTGGGGCCGGTGAGACTCGTTCACAGCGGTCAGTTGGCTGTTGGGCGGTGCTGTGCTGCCAAGACCAAGCGTCAGACCCTACCGTGGTGCTAAACACCAGTTTTGGAGAAAAGACAAGCGTTTTGATGGATTTTAGTAAAGCACTTCTAGATTTTCTTACGGGTAAAAATGTAGACAGCTCTGTTTAAAATAATTTGAGTTTTGATTCCTCTAGGGTAGACTCAAGTCTCAACGCATTCGAACCCCCAGTGATTCTAAAGTGCAGAAAAGATTGAGAACTTCCCGTGTGCCTCTTTGAAACAACACATTGACGTGGGGATGGGGGGAAGAACCTAAAATCAAGAGGCAGTTTTTTTATCTCCACACTAGTTCATTGAGTATTGGTTTTAGTTAATGGCAGACTGTTGTTTTCCATTTAGTTGAACTAAATGGCTTGTGCTTTCTTGTGAGAAACCTTAGAGACAGATGTCTGCTTCTGCTTTAATGTGAGAGACAAGTTGGTCCTGTGATTAAAAAGCTGTATGGCTCGCAGAGTCATGGAAAAATACCTAGTTACAGCAGATGAGGACCTAATGAAATTAAAGTATTATTGAAAAAAATAATCAGGCTAAATTCATGTTGAACTTGGTGTGTATGAGGATTTTGAGCTCTGTACCTTCTGAGTCTTGACCAATAGACCAATAGATAAAGTAAGGTTTAAGAGGAAGGTAAATGGTGCCTGGTATTAGCACAACGTGCCTGTCTTAAAAAGTAGCTGGCTCGACATGGATGGCACATTTCATCCACCTTCACAGAGTTTTGAGAAATTTGTTTTCGGAACCCATCTGCTGAAAAACATTGCATAAGCCAGTGACCCTGGTTCTCTGCTATCCCGTCTGCTTTTGGCATGTTTTTCATTCACAGAACTACTAAATGGTAGACTTTTAGCATTAATTATTTTAGTCCACTATTTGTAAACTAGACATTCACAGGCCGTGTTTGGCCAACAGAAATATGCTTTGATTTGAACATTGATTGCCATCCAACCAAAGCACACACAAAACCAACATGTTAGGAATATTTCAAGTAATATTTTATGTAACAAACAGATTTTCAACTTTTTTTAAAAGTTTTGAAGATTTAACAACTCTGGATTCAGTTTAGTTTTGACACGCTATCTGTAGCAAAATGGTGGCTTCTTATGTTACTGGTTTCCATCATCCTCACTGTTGTTGCTAGGTATCTGAATACAACTCATAAGAACCCTATCTGTGAACAACAGTTCTGAACCCTGGCCTGTCCTGTGCCATCCTTGCAGTCTCTGACACACTTGAGACCATTGCAGTCACTCCACTTGGTTTTGAGTCTTCCTCTCTTCCACTCTCCCCTCCACCTTCCCAAGCATAATGTCACTCTCCAAGGAATAGTCTAGTAACATGCCAAAGTATGTGAGTTACAGTTTCATCATCTTTGCCTCTAAGGAACACTCTGGCTACACCTTCTCCAAGACAGTTCAGACAAATCCCAAATCCATGCTGCTTCTGTTATCCTTATTTGTTTTCTAACATGCAGGTACATAGGAAGCCTTTGAAACTACCTTGACTTGGATCAGACACACTTTAGTCTTTAACTGACATTGTTGCCCTTTAGAATTTTGGAGACCCTTGACAGCAGATTTCCAAATTTGATTTCCCAGCTACTGCCGCAAATGACAGCTATAGCCTGCACATGTTTCTAAGCACGGTTGTCAATTTAAAAGTGTGCAGCAGCATGTTTTAACCATGGATGTTGATTGTGGCTTCAAGTAAAATGACATCCTTTTCTCTGTCTATTATGAGGTTGCCTACTGGTCCAATGATGAGAATTATTGTTTTCTTGATGTTGAGACATAGCCCATATTGAAGGTTGTAGTATTTGATCTATTTGATCTTCTTCTGTAAATACTTCAAGTCTTCACTTTCTGCAAGCAAGGTTTTGTCATCTGCCTAACATAGGTTGTTCATGAGTCTACCTCCAATCTTGATTATTTTTAACACTTTTAAAGAGTCTTTGGTGGCAAACCAAAAGTACAACTCCCAGTATAATACATCATTTTTTTTCTTTTTTATTTTTATTAATTTTAATGAACGTTCACAGAGATTCTGGAATTCCACTCATCTATTGCTGCACCCCACACTCTGCCCACCTCTCCCTCCCAGCCCAACCCACCCACCCCACCCCCCCGAAAAGCAAAACTCCTTCACTGGTATACAGTCCCTCCCCCCAGTACACTCCACTATGCAACCCTCATTCCAGACCCCTGTCATGACCATAACATCCAATCTTGTATCGCTTCTAAACAGCTTCCTCCCTCATCTGCCTCAATACATTATACATAATTTATCCAATCTTTCTCAGTCTCACCCAGCCCTGATGTCAGTCCCTTTCTACAACAGTGGCACCATGCAGTATTTGTCCTTTTGTGACTGAGATATTTCACTCATCGTAATGTCCTCCAGGGTCACCCACTTTGAATAATATTTCATGAGTTCCTTGTTTTTCAATGCAGGATAGTATTCTATTGTGTGAATATACCAGAGCTTCT